ATAATCACTCCAAACTGAGATATAATCTCCCTTTAACGTACCAGAATATCGCGAATGTTCATTACTTCCTCGACTGGGTAACACAATAGTGCAAACCAAATGTTGAAAAATTATCCTTAAATCAATTGCAACTCATTTAAACACAGAATGTGCTCGTATGATCAAGTACTCACTCTCTAGTTATGTACTTGATACAACAAACGTATATAAACCGTCCTGTTTATCACCTTGTCGTTACTGTAAAAATAACAATTCATGTTCAACTTCCGTTATGAATTTACATGGCGCATGTCGTCGATGAAGCGAAAGACGTTTACTCTTCCGGAACACCTGGACTTATTCTCATTCTGTTTTTTTGTTTGTTCATATTTGGCCGTAGTTTTACTGAATTTTAGTTTGGGTAATTATAATGTTGACGTGTTGGTATTTTCTTGTTGTTTGTTCAATTGCATATCAGAATAAAGACTTTTCAGCGATATACAAAAATACTATTATAGAACCAGGCTTTCAAGAATTGAATTGCGTTATAAAGGTATCATAAAAAAGATTTTTCATTCAATACTACTTTTCAAATAAATAATGTATAACGTACGAAATGAGTTCAGTGCTAAATTGTTGAATTCAGTTTTTTAAAAGTCTTTATTGAAAGATGAATTTCAATTTTATGAATCAAAAATGAGTCAACACTCTTTGTACTTGCAGTACTAGGTATAACATGACCGTTTGTCATTACCATTTGATAACACTATCAAATTGTCTTTATATAAGCACCACGTAGTCTTTGTTTACATAAATCACACCTTACTTTAACTGAAGTCCTATTATACATTTATAGCATTTCGATGAAGGCGATAGATGGTTATGTCAACCAGGGAAGAGATATCTAGTGAAATTACTGGACTATAAAAGTTTTATTATAAAATTATGATCTTGTGGTCGCATTTCCTTGGAAGAAATACAATTCTAAGTCGTTTTATTTACTGCTGGACAATCATTTGATGACTGATTATTTCGCTTTTGACTCAAACTGATGATACTTCAAGCCATCAAATATTGCAAAGTTTGTCTCCGATTATCAGCACAGCGAACACGCCAGCTGGAAGTTTTGTTGTTGTTTAGGTTGTGTTCCTGTAGTGTCAAGGTCTTCGCGAAATGTTCACATCATATTATTTGAAAATTAGGACATTTTCGAAACATTTAATGAAAAGCTCTTTTACTAATTTTGCTTAGATGTCAGTATGATTTGTATAGGCTACTGTTACAGCCTATTAGGTGAACAAAAATATAGCAGTTTTATTTTGTATATACTTAGAGTTGAATTATGCACCAAACTAGTATCAAAATTAATTTTCTGGTACCAGATCTTATTAAAAGATATCTACACGAAATAAAAGGTGATTCGGACATCATTGCATGTTGTCGTAACCAAATGTTTTAATAGTTATCACAACAATTAATAAACCTCGTTTTGTATTTCATCGGTTGTGTCTGTTTAGTGACATATAATTCGTACAGACAAATCACAATGTCGAACATTCTTGCATCTTGATTTGTACTTTTTGTCTAAATAGAAAAATAAACATATCATATAGATATTCCTGTATTACCAAGGCTATTTTTCTTCTTCCCTCTGAAGTTCTGCATCCGGATGAATACTTAACGAGCCAAACTGTTACATTATTTTCTTTTCGAAAAAAAAAATTAAAAAATGGGAGCCTTTAATTCCCACGAGTCTTATTCAATGTCTTTATCAGTTCTAAATACAATTTAGATGGAAAAATAATTAGTAAAAGAACTCATGCCAAAGGATATCAACTTATGGATGTCAAATAAACTATTAAAGACTGGAGTTATTTGATGGCACAAAAAGCCAATATATCCTCATCTTTGCTGTTTTCTAGTCGCTACATTAAAATACGTTTATTTTCCTGTTCGGGAGAAAATGAAGCGGAGATCTGATAAAACAATTTCCATTAAAAACAGTTTTCTGTTATTTGGTAAATTTTACCACAGACTCTTCTCGGAAACAACAATGGTAGAATACTAAGAAAAGAAGTTCATTCAAAATGACACTGCGATTTGACGGGCGCAACCTCAGACTTTATGACACCAATAAACACGCTCATGCTCCCCGACATCTTTAAACACCACTTTATTTTATGTTGTGATCGGCTTTTTTTATTTGTTTGTTCTCTGAAAATCTCGGAAAAAAAGTGAGAAAATTTAATGGTTTACCGTTCAATATCATATATTGTTCACCCGTATACCAGAATATATCTATATATCTAAAACAAAGCTATCGTGTAATGACATCAAACTGAAAACCATTAAATATCTACTACATATTCAACGACTAACTTTGTAAATTTAAGAGAAAGAAAGTTAATTGGTGTAATTGTACAAATTCTAAATATGGAATAGAAATGATATTTGACTGATATACGTGTAATGTTGACGAGTCCTAGCAGGACGTAACTCTTGTATGATGCAGTTTAATTAATTATTTTGCTGCACTATATCTAATTCGAAATTTGTATCAAAATGTGTGATTTACTTATGAGTCCTGTGAACAATCCATCTTGATTTTGCATAAAATCTTTTCTGATACGTTTATAATATTCATATTCATTTTTTAAAATACAAATGTAAGTAACATTTCCGAGAAGACGTGAACGATTTTAACGGAAGTATCATGTATTTTTAAAAAGTATGACTGGAAAATGACCATTATATCTGGTGAAATGAAGTGACATTGATTTACATAAAGCCAAACGTTAAGACATTGAATCGAACCCTTCTAATTCATTGTTGAACGGGGAATACCCATTCTGTATCACGAACACAATGCAAGCCTTCGTCAGTTACAGAGATAAAATACAATTTTTAAATATTTGCTTATATATAAATTCTGTTTATATTAAAACTTGCTATGATATCCTTTTTTTATGTTTGTACCATGGGATTATGATATTCTCAAAAAATCCACATTTGACAATTAGTGAATAGTGAAGTGTGATTGGTTTATGGAAATATTGTACTGGTTTTTATTTTGAATATTATATTCATAGATATATATCTCCAAGTTTATTTCAATGTATTTCATCGGAAACTGTATCTTACACCAAAAAGCTATCAGGATATATATATATATATATATATACTAACACTGTATCTGATTTTCATCTAAAAAAGCGTTGCATGTGTGTGGTTTTCCACAATTATGAGTGTAAACACTCTATACAATTTTTTCTGTTAATCACACACAAATCATTTTTAGGATCAGAATAGCATCACTAAACACTATTCAATCTTCATCTGATAACATTGTTTCCTTCTCAATTTTTTATCATTTATCATATATATAACGGCTATTCAACAGAAGTCAAAACATCAGCATTAATAATATCAAATTCAATAGTTAACAATGCATGAAATGTATACCGTATTGCTGATTGCCGTTAACTGCTTATCCTATTATATTTAATTCAAACAGTGGCATAATTCAGAATATACACATATACTTGACGCTGTTATAGAATTGTCTGATATATGAAAATTACGAAATGTATTTGATTTTGAGACTGCTGCACCTCCCCGTCTAGATTTTGACTTTTCTTTCGATCACTTTGGATTTTCCTTAGTCGCCCCCTGCGCTTCGGAATGTAGGTCCTTTAGTGTCACTAGTCATAGAAGGACGAAACATCTTTGCAATGCAGTTTGATTCATTTTTTGGCTCTACAATGTTTAACTCTAAATTATCAAAAATGTGTAATTCACTTGTGTGTCTTCTGTACAATATTACCGAGTGAAAAAAGCTATTATAAAGGGAAGATTATCATAATCATGCAAACAGACTGATTTCTTCAACAAATGTTTTGTGTTATATATTATAACAATATGAGGTCTAGGCAATATGACGTCATGTATTATTTGACGGTTTATTTAGGTCACTGTAATGTTTCTGTGTGTTGCTGTATTTCCCCACACTTCTACCCCCAACCCACTAAAACATACATAGGAGATGAAAAACTGCCAAATGAGTAAATAAATTGTAAAGTGGTGACAAATAGATAATCAAACTTCTCTTTTTTGTTTGTCTTTGAAATTCCTTTTTTGTCTGTGCCTTAATGTCCTATATATATCATTTAACATTACACAATTAGGAGAGTGTAGATAAACGTTTTCCAATATTTTAAATAGTTAATTTGAAAGCGGTAACAACAGGCAATTTGTAAACCTAGTTTTATGGTACACAGTACATGCAATCATTTGATTGTTATATTTGTTTCGTCCTTCTGTAACTCATCAGTGATACTTAGGCGGGAGGTGACTGAGGACAATCTAAACGGAAATAAATATCAAAATATGGACAGGGAGATGCGCAAAACAAATAATTCAACTCATTTCCTAATTTTCAAATTGGATGCTTTCAAAAGAATGAAAGAACACATAATTATTCTTAACAGAATCAGTATTCATTTTAATCAAATCATGTCAGGTGTCATATCAAGACTTCCCAAACTGTAAGACTTTATTTTTTTCAGTAAATGTTGATGGTTTGATAATATAGTATTTATTCTCATCTAGGCTTCTTCTTAAAGAACATAGATGTATTTATTTGTACACGTGTTTTAGAATAGGTTTAGTTAATTATCATACAACTAAATATAAACACATTTTATTGATGTTTATTTATCATATATGCACATATTTCACAATATTTCATGCTTAGTCGTGTCGTAACATTTCAGCTCAAAAGGACTATGAACTGCTATTGGTTGCGTTATAAGAACTTCTATTCTATCGACATTATCTTACATGTAAGACAGCCTCTTAATGTAAGATAAATCGGTTTTGTTTACTATTAGACAGAACGATGACAATTGAGTTTATATCGATCCCCGATAAAAGTGAAACACAGAAATATTGTATTGCTGCGATATACAAAGTTATCTTGATGTATTAAGTGTCTTTTAGGAAAAGAAATAAAAAAACCCACATAAGTCATATAAACATTTTATTTCTTATTTGAACTTCCATTCATTCACCCATCCACATTGATTGTACATTCATCTGTCTTCATGCATTCAGTTTTATGGAATATGTTTAAATTAAACAATTTCATAAATATATATATTATACATGTATATAAATATGGCATGTCATATTCCAATGAGGTACTGGAAGTCTTTGTGATTGTACTTTCTGTTTCTACACCACAATATTGCCATTGTCTACATTTCTGAACCACAAAAACAATTGAATGAAGTTGACTGGAACGGAACGTTTTGTATAGTGAAGGCATTAGATTTGTATATATTGCATATTTCTGTCTCCTTCAAGTCTCAAAAGTGTCATTATCACTGGCAAGACTTTAACTTATATAAGTATACATTTTATATCAAACGTTCAGTTATTCCTTGTATGTCCTTTGAATTAACTGATATACAGTCGATTGGCATAATTAGCACTTCAACGCATAGCTTTATTTAAAACACCGTCATTGAATGTATTTTCAGCATTGCTTAATACCAAAGCATCACTATACTGTCTATCAATGTATTTTTACAAATGAAAAAAACACTTATGTCCGTCCAACTTCAATACAATATACTCAACCGTGTCCACCACCAACAACCATTGATTCTAAAAAGATTAGCAAGTAGTTATAATATTTATTCCTCGTCTGGAGGTCATAAAAGCCATCCAATGATTTGCATATTCATGTCCAAAGTACCATAGTGTTAACATATGGTAATTTGTCAGTAGCTGATACGGATGTCAGACATTATTCGAACATTTTGACCCCTGAAACCACGACGGACATCAGGAGGCATTGCTGTATCCACATAATTTCTCTTTACTGAATTATTGTATTAATCAAATCTATTTGTTGACACACTCTTTTCCAACGTCTATTTCATCATCAGAATCATCTATATCGTTATCAAAATCTTCCTCGTCTGATGTACATCTGTCCATATCATCAATTTCGTCTTTTGATGTGTGTTCCTCCTTGTTTTCATTGGATGCGTCGTCTTGTTTATCCGCAGACGGAGATTCCTGAAACGCAATTTAATCATTACAAAAATGAAAAAAATCACTTTCCAATAAAATGATATTCCAACTAGATATTAAAGATCGTGGTAAAACCATACCTTATTGAACTGTTGTGTGTAATCCTGTGTGTTATCGATACAAATAATACAATGGACAATAATTATAAATTAAGAGTAACGATTGAATCATCATCATTAGTAACGACTGATATCCATGTACATATTCAAGATTTAGACCCATATGTTTTGACCATGAACATGTAGATTTTATCTATATATTTAACTTCTGAATTTTAGTCAGTGTGCATATCCCGTGAATGCATTGCGTAAAGATTCTTACTCATTTCTTTTGTTTCGTGTGCTTACCAATATAAACACATCATAAAACTGATCATTGTCAAATCTGCCTATCACAATTTTTTTTTATTAAGAATGTAATTGTACCTGTTTTAAACGCCGCCATTTTGCTCTTCGGTTCTGGAACCATGTTTTCACCTATAAAGACAGAAATAAAACGAAAGGTTGATACTGAAGTTAATGCAAAGTATAAATCATTGCCATATGTCAATAAACAAACCGGTAAAGTTTGAATTATGTGACAATATCGACAAACTTTGTTAGCATGGCGTCGATGTATTGCCGACCTGGGAGAAATGTCTTTATGTTGTATCGTATATGTTGTTTGATACCACAAGCTTTGGCTTGATAGACCGATAATTCATTCGGCAGATTTCTTTCACCTGCCAATAGTACCCACGAATATTTGTGCAGCCCTTTCTGAACACTGGCCTTTCACACAATAGTGTATATCTCACAACTAGCTGTTGAGAACGAAAGTCGAGAGCCATTGAAAAACAAAACGATAAGAATTTGCAATTGATATTTATATAAAATTGCGCAATTGCTGAATATTCCATTACGCGACTTTCTCCTCTGACAGAATTGTTTTCCTTATTTACTACTTTTTATTACACATTGATCTTACGCGGACTCTCATCTTCCTGAGTGGTTTTTATCTGTTTTATGTTTTATATTAATCAGCTGTAAGTTATGATATAGCGCAAAACATGTCAAGTTGAAACACCAATTGTACAATATATCTGTCTTAAACAGTTCCTTTCTGCGATTTCCATATTAGTGACACTTCACCAAAAAGAATGTTTTGTACCTGTCTTTCTGTTAACTGAAGTACTTTTGCGAGCCTTTTGCGTTCAGGTGGTGATAAATATTTCTGTGCTTCAAACTTTTTCTCCAGCTCTAACGTTTGATCGTTAGAAAACCGAACTTGTCCTCCTTTTCTTTTGTGCATAGGTCTTTGTATGAAAGGGTAATTCCACATAAAATGTTTAGGCCCGGCTGTAAGAAAAATATAAATGTCTGAAAATGATGTTGTCGAATTATGGATTAGTTGGAACGAAAGACAAAAAAAAAGTGAAAAAAGATGTAGAAGTTTTACAATAATGAATGGACAAATTTGAATAATTAGAAAGTTATCAGTGTCTAAAAAACATGTAAAATAAAAAATAAAATAAAAAGACACCCCCCCCCCCCCTAAAAAAACCCCAAAAAACAAAAAACCCAAAACAAATAAATAAGTGATAAAAAAAATAAATAAAACAAAAAACGCTGTCCATACAGCCATAAGAAATTAAGAAAAACTCCAGTAAGATCTTGACCTTAGAAAGTCCAAACCAAAATTGAATCAACGAACACACGTAGCTCCCGGACACACTTAACACTTAGTTTCAGCTTAAATGATAATCATTACTAGCCACTTAAGCCAGAGAGAATGAGACGAGATCACATTTAAATTGGTCACGTTACAGTAAAGTTCAAAGTTTACTTTGGTGCTTGATCCTAGATGCGACTATCCATGTAACATAACACGTATATAAGATATATTTAAATATGATGCATAGCTAAATTTCATTCCGACAAATACAAATTTCATTCATTGATTATGAGATATATTTCTTAAATAGCTGCCTTTCCTATATAATTATGAAATAGAAATGATAAATTTATTCAAATAAGTTGTCATATGTTCAATTAACAATTCATTAAAAAAATGTGAATTTATTCGAAAAATAAGTAAATCTTAAATCTTACGTTTCAAATTATTGGGAACCATGTACATCGAACTAGATTCTGTTTCATTGAGAAGTATTGCGATTTCTTTTGATATTTTAACTATATTATATTTTTAATGAATTTATTATCGTTTAAATATTTTCTATCAAAACGTTAGTGCTAATGTCAGGGTAAATCTAGTGACATTAGATCAACATGTGTCCAATTACCATCTCACAATTCATGCTGACAGGTAAATTCCACGTATTCAAAATTGCGGGTTTTGTTTGCAACACTTGATGAGGTATTGAAGAAAACGTCCACCCTAGATAATTAGGAGATATGTAACATTTATGAATTATAATTGGTATGTTTTTCAACGCTTAATTTAGACAATAAGAGGAATGCATCAATTAAAATCATGGCAAGCCTAATTTGATATCTAGAACAATGAGTTCTGATGTAAATGTCAACAAGATACAGTCAGCTTCTGTTTGATATGACTAAACGGTCCTTAGTATTGTAAGTGTTTCTCCTATAACAACGAGTAAGTGAATGCCTCAATTGTTGGCTATCATTCTTATAAATTACAAAAACAATAACACTACTCCAACAGGCGACGAGCAGTCTAATTACAGAAAAACTTTAAAGAGGGTTATTCCTAAACTTTTCCGATTAGGACGGTTAATATTTAGGGCCTGAGTTTGATCATCCTGTATTTGACTAATTTAAACTGTATTTGCTTCCGCCGTATAACCACTATGGACCATAACTTAGTGCCCTGCAAGCTTGAATGAATACATTTTAAGATATACGAAATATCCAAATTGTTTTAAAGACACCTCATGAAAAGGCGATTAAACAATAACGTATGGAAATAGTTAATTTTCAAAATTCGAGGTTATTTTCCTTCCCTAATACTTATAAAAGATTTTCTAAACAATATAATGAAGTTTGAAAAGCTTTAGAATGAGGATGGTCATGCCTACTATGACCGTGTTCCTAGCTATGCCAACATAATTACCTCTTACAGCCACACGACACCACGCCACGAGGCGGAAGCGCGTGCCTTGCAGATTGCGAATATACCCATTGATCTCACAGTCTTACACTTACTCGTGAAATTCCGGCGCGCAGGAAAGACGTATGGCCGGGTGCGATAGTCCTCTAAGGGACTCTTAAGGCTACTTGAGTGAAACAATAATTTGAAACTATACAAAGTGCCTGCCATCGCCAAAGACATCAAATAGAAAACTGTTCCATATGTCCTTGTGAAATCTCATTTATGTTATGAAGTCCATGATAAAATCTTCTCTATAATCAATTAATCTTTTTTACTTTGTTTAGTGAAAACAATTATGGCGTTGAACATGCAAGCAAAATAAATGACCGAAACATATTAAAAATTCAATATTCGTAGTGTCATGAGTAGATCAAAAGATGAAATATGTTTTAACATATTATCATGTGCTAGACTATGGTTGAAAATATCGAAATGTTAAAATGAAAACTCAGATTCGACGAAAAAGGGGCAAAATATGAACTGGTGTATTGAAAGGGTAAGCGTCTTCTGCATATTAACTGATATTCAACTTTTCACATCGCTAGCTACTTTGAATTATAAATTTCTCTGGAGGAGAACTGTTCACCTCCAATCTTTATAGATACATGAAATACTATTATGATAATTATCTTATATCTATATATGTTTACATATTAGATTTGGAAGAAATTTGGTAAGTTTTTGCCGAAGAACCAGTCGATTGGCCGTTATTTCAGCGTTGACAAATTCAGCAGCAACTGCGTTAAAGTGTCGGTATTACCAGTAAAAGAATAAACATCTTATCCCTATTGAATAAACACGATAATAATAGTTATGTATTTCCACCAGATACCTGATAGACATAATCTAGCACTACTCATTTTATAGTAATTATCCTATGTAATTCCTGATACAGGCTTGCCAAACCGAGTATTTAGATAAATAACATCAAGGTTGTAGTTCGTCAGTTTACCCAGTTTGTATATTATATGCCAAACTTTCATTCATTAAACCTCTACCAAGTCTTTCATCTGTTGTTAAACGTTTACATAACCATGATATGTTTACATTCCATCAGGGGTCGCGTTTGTCTCGAGTATTTACCGCCTTTGGTTACTTGTTATATGTGGTCAATCCAGTGGATTGGTCAAACCGCAAAGATAAGACAATAGTGTGCGACAAAGAGATGAATGGACATCGGAAGCCGACTGTTGACTGGCTACTGATAAGGATGTTTGTTAAGGTGTTCCTATCAATGGGATGATCCAACAATCCTTGTTAATTGTTGTTCTATAGCTAGTTGTAACATAAATAACGAAAGTATCACTGTACGGTCCGATTCCGACAGGTGCCCGTCTATAGACACGTGGTCAGTGTCGCCGGACTGGCGCTGAAGGGGTTAGGAAACATGCCGGGGTTGGTGGTCAGGTCACAAATGAAACGTTCCTGTACAAGGGATGGATCGAATAGGGTCTTAAGGACTTTCATGGCAGTAACACCTCAACAGTGTCACTAATAGTTTGTAGTCATTGATTTAAATCTCACCTGACTTTCAATTGTAATTCTATAAACGATAACGAAAATGTCATGTTGACCTGCAGTGACGCTCATGTACACAAGAGCAAACATAGCGATAATGAAAGAAAATGGACATAATTCATATATCTTTTCGTGTGATAATAATAATAATAATAATGATAATGATAATTAGCTTTATTTATTCTTGATAACATAATGAGCAACCTGCTCGTCTTACATGGTCAGGAAGATGATATTTACCAATAAAATTACAAAATACATATCACAGGCAAGTAAAGCACAGCAACAGGGACCAGGAGATATCATTCCATATAAAATCTCAAAGAAAAGTGGAATTACTCGTATCGCTTGGTAAAAGATTCCATGCAGAGCTCCCTGGTAACTAAAAGAGTTTCTAAAAATGTTTGTTTTGTGAGATGGAATGTAAAAACATGTAGATCTACTTTGTACATCAGACAAATAAATGAATCAATTTAAACGTGTGGAGCTTAATTGTTCAGCGTATATTGCAAGTATCAGCGACTGTAGTGAAAACTTTTAAAGAAATATAAAAGAAAGATTAAGAGTTTATTCAAAATAAGAAAAGACAAACATATCAAATGTCAAATGAATTTTAAGTGCTATTGTTGTGGGGGAAATAAAAAAAAAATACAAATTGCGTGGTGAAAATGATTTGGCTCAAATTTTGTTATCTATAAGACAATAACCTGTTTTAAAATCCCAACAGACAGTATAATTAATGTCAATGTTCAATAACATGGATCTATATCCTTTTGATTAAATCCCGTTCACATTTCTTTTCTGAATATTTGTATTTACCTGAGTTTCAATGGTAAAACATTATGTAGGTATTTCTGTGATAAATTAGGTAAAGATATCCCGACAATTTGTGTAAAAAGAAACTGTGTCCTTTGTTAATCTGTTTGTTTGACGATCATACGTGTTTCACACGGTATTCTGTAGAGGCTGTCTAATTGTGTACACAACATTTCATACATCAGAGGAATCGCTCAGTGACGAATTCCTACTATATATATATAATCACAGACACAGGACATCGGTACCCTTCGATTTATATTCTTACAGGTCCGATAATACTAGAAATAGAGTCACCAATGCATTAGCATAATCGCTTGATAAGGTTTTGATAATTTTATGTTTTAAAATATATTTAATCGTACTTATTGTTAAATGGGAAAGGGAAAAAGATCAATGATGTTTTGCAAATGGAATGTTTTTTTTTTTTTGTAATTAAACATAGGAATTTTAATCATAAATTTTAACTGTGACAGATCATGATAACTTTAAAAATTTACAAAGCATAAACCCCAACCCCTCTCCCCCTTAAATCGTATTAATCAATTATATCAATTTTGAGAAAACAGAAGTGAAAAGGAGAACCACACAAGAAGTACTTAAAGTCTCGGAGAAAGGATGTACGTAGTCAGTGGGATACGAAAATAGGGGATTCATCGTATGTAAACTATTTTATTTTGATCAGCCTTATTTTCGAACTTAGAATCAAATTAATGCTTTATTTCCTGTACGTGCGTGTGCCTAACAATGACTTCAAGTACGATGTAAGTATGATTCTAAAGAAAACATATCATTCTAACGCCATATTGTCTGCAAGATATTCAGCAATTGTCTATCAACTCTGTGGTATAAAAGGAATTGTAAAAACACCTTCAAAGCGAAAATTTTCCCTATATTTCCTTACAGTTCAAAAGTCAAATGGGATGTGGATCTAATGGCACACTTCACATAAATGGTAGAAGTGAAGGGTGAAGAATATCATTATAGATTAACGACTACTATCCTGTTTTCACACTACGAACACTCCAAAAATATCACTTGTACACACACGCCCTCATATTGACCCTATTTATTAATCTTCAATTTATATATATTATACATTTATTTCTATAACTTTGGCCGATTCATCAAACAATGATGAAATTTTTTTTTGTATAATTTATTTCCATTTGGAGGTTAAAAGCTATTATGAACAATAGAAACGTTTTAAGTATTGAATTTTTACCAAAGAAATTTGAAACTTCTATATTTTTTTTAAGTTCTATTTTTTATTATATGATATATTGAGGTGTTATTGCAGTGTGATTATGAAGAAAATACAAAAAAAGAAATAAAATTAATTAAATAAAAGATATTTTATTAGAAACAAAGCTGTATATTTGTACTTGCTGTCAATGAAGGAAATATTCCATGCCATTTTTTATTATCATTTTTTCATCGGAGATTTTCCTAGAGCCACTGTTGGGTTTGTATATTTAAGCATTATATAAGAAATCAGTACGAAACAACTTTAGATGCCTTTTGATTGTTTCGTATAATCTATCTGTTGTTAAAGTCATATTTCATAGTGAGTTGGATGCGAAATCGTGACAAATGTTATTTCTTTTAGCGTCGGTGTATTAGTGTTTGTTACTGCACAAAGCGATATCATTATATTATTACAGAATTATCCTTATTTTAATCTGATTATTGTACAGACAACAAAATATGTGATAGCAATGTTTTATCAAGCATTCACGATTCAGTTTACATAAGGTAATCGCATTTATTGAACGACAAATATTGACTACTGACCCACCCGGATATGTACCGTTAAACAAGCTCTTATGTACATATCTATCAATTAACAACAACTTGATAGCGCAAAAAGTGGCACCTTACGTCAAGAGTTTTATCTATCCACATAACGGATAAGGAAACGCAAATCGTCTACTGACGAAAAGTTTTCTACTGATATAAAGAGTTATTGAGAAAAAACTATCCATCCATTAAAACGAACCGAAAAGATTCTTCTCCAAATTGTCAAATTCTCGATGGTATTATTTAGGACTTCTAAAATCTCATGACCTGTAATAATGTGAAATTAATGAGTGTGCAGATCGTTATGAATATATTGAAAATTATGAAAATCCATTTATTTTATTCTTCTGTTATTTCTATGTTAGGATGAAATTCGAATCATACCGATTGTAATTTTGTGTGTGAATGAACACTGAAATTTTGAATGCTTTTAATATCACAAATTAGCAACATGTGTTTTTTGTAACATTCAAATATGTTAATGTGTTAAAATGAAATTCGTCAGTTCTTTTCCGCTTTCAATAAAAAAACAACTGATTTGGTATTCGAAGAAAAATATTTGCATGTACTATTTTTGTATTAAATGTGGGTATTATGGGTAAAAACGTCAGTGGTATAACTAACACGTTAATGTTAACAGTTTTATACATATGATCATTCAGAATATGGTTATATTTACATGAGAATGATTGATGCTAATGTTTATATATATTTAGTATCATATTGTTCGGGAATGGTATATACTTAGCAGTAATTTTATAAAAACAAAACTGTATCTACTCTTCAAAACTTGTTCACATGTTTTATGCTGTAACATAATTTATCCAGAATGTACTGAAGGAAAAAAACACGCTTCCTGAAGAAATGATCTTTCTGTGCTCTTAATAGATGATACATATTTGATAAACGGTGTCTTTATAATAGTAGTGTCATGATTTGAATGAAATTGAGAGTGGGAGGAAAAATATCTTAAAAAGGAAGCTTGACTTCACATCGCATGACATATTTAGTACCAGTTTTGCTTGAAATCTCTCTCTAGATAGAAAGTAAATTTGACCTCTTTACAGATTGAGACGAGATGATGATTAATGATACAAGTTATGATACACAAGTTCAAATAGCATTTCCGACCCGGAGAGCTAATTGATGCCTATACAATAAGTACTCGGAAACAGTTGATATACAGAACACTTACTCAATTTGAGGTTTAAATCTACACTGGACTATTATTGGCCATTTATTATTAAGGACTGGCTAAAATACTGTTATAGGAGAACGTTTATAAACATCTGAACGGGACACCAACTTCACGCACTTTTGCCTGGGTCAAAAGTCCAAATTTATGTAGTGTAGACATGAATTTGTTATGCAAGTTGCTACAAAAAATATATTCAAGGATAGTATTGATTATTGTAGAAACATTACTAGAATATTGTAAACATTTTTGTACATTTTTAATATTGCATTGAATGAATCTATGTCATAGTAAAAAATTTCCATTAATTAATATTGATCTTCAGTGTCTTTTTAAGGAGTTCTTTGATAGTAAATTTGATAGTAGCACTGCGTAGGTATACATACCTTATGTCTTATTAAAACAAAAGTACGAAATTTAAAAAGCTACTAAAGATAAAGTAAAGAGATGGAATATTGTATACATACCTTTGGCATATGCATGGCGATCTAAATAATATTCTGGTCTGGCGTAAGGGACGGAGTACATATGGTTCATTAGAGTATTTTGATATGTCGCTGGCGCTGTAAAATAAGAATGTGACAAGAGAGTGTTGGCATCGTACATAGGTAATGGTTTGTACAAGCTGTTAGCGGTCACAGACCCCGGAGACACATGGGTAGGGTTGATAGGTGTTGGTTTATGAAGTCCAGATCCTGAAGCAGAGGAACAGTTTTGGGAATTGCCCAGAATATCGTCAATCAAAAACGACGTTTGCCCTGACGGAGGACTTGAACTTTGTGAATGTAAGGACGCGATGGCGGCTGCTGCTGCAGGATGATGAAGATGGGATGGAGAATATAATGGGGGTACTCCACCCGGTACGAGCTGCTGCAATTGAGCGACAGGATGCAACATTTTCCCTGATGTTAAAACCATCCGCAGGAACTATTTATTTCACGTATTGTCACAGAAATACTCTCTTGTCGTGTTTCGTCTTCTGTGTATTAAACGTGATTTCCATTGTAGAATCGGTAGTGGAAACGTTGATATAAAGCAGTTAGTCCAATATATCTAAGTCGAGAGCGAAATAGACACAAAAATTGTAAATATGTTTGTATACTTATGTTTTTGTCCTTCCACTGTGTGATGATGGACGAAGTGTCCACGTTCCCTAAGCAGCCGTGGGTATGTTAACCGATGAGTTTTACTGGTAAATCATCCGACGTGTACTGTAAGAGTCACGTATTACATCACGCCGAAGAGAATCCGGAAGGTTTGAAAAATCTTGTTTTATGTTTAGATATTAACACTTGTACTAGTGATATACTTTCCATTATGCTATCGGTATAACAGTGGCGTTACAACAATAGGATCACAGAATAGGCAATGCACGCCCAATTCGGAGTAAAAGGGGCGGAGTTAACGGTCGGGTCGAGCCACAAGGGTATCGCTTCTCTCTTTCTATTGGGACAATCTCTGTTTTAAGTGATCACTTTCAGGTTAAAGTTCAAGTAATTCTGTTTGAATGTTGTTCAAACATTGGCTCAGCGATAAACAGTGATCCCCCTTCACTGTATAACGGTGAGCAAATATCTCTATCGTCTTGGTAGGAATCGCATTGTACTTATCTAATCAAGAGCTGACACTCCTCGTTATGTAGACATATCAACCCCGGGAAATTGGAGGGGCGGGGCCTTTTGACTGACAGGACACCAGAGCAGTACTTCACCCTTCGGATGTCAAAGATACCTTTTTAGTACGCGATATCTCTGAAATCAAGTTAATACATTTTATTTGCTGTAGCCAGCGAGATTTAGAATGTATGTATTTATTTTATTTTCATGCTTCATATACGCTTTAAAACATAAATTTCAATTTTACCATGTCGAAAACATGAATGTCTTTGTATTAACACTCTTTCTGTATATATAGTTTTTATTGATTAATTATAATTTGTTGTGGGAATCTAACATGTTTAAATGTTTTTAAAAAGTGATTTTCTTTCTTTCTATAGAAAGAAGGTAATGTTGATCACATTCTGTATAAATAATGTTAGTCTCAAAATTACAATATACTTTTATTACATCATGATAAGCAATTGGTCGTTAATTCAAATCGAATAGGGCCTAAGATGCTGGCCGAAAAACAATATTTATTTCTCGGTTCATAAAACGATATGAATAGTAGAAAAAATTAAGAAAAAAACAAATCAGTAAAGCCAACACCATCCCATTGATAGAGTTAAAGGTGGCCTTTATCTAAAACACAAACTGTCAAAAGTAAAATACATTTTGATATCCATCGACATAAATATGTTCATTAATGTTGTTTCTATTGCCATCTTAAAGTTTAGCTTTATAAAACTATCCTAAAAATATGTTAAATTAATCAATTTTCATGATAACAAGGAAGTAAAGACTTGATGAAAATTAATTCATGAAAATGCTAAGGGTTCCGAGCGTTATTATAATTTTAAATCACTACTTTCAAATATCGTACGTGTCCTAAAGGTTGTTTCATAAACATCGTCACATTACATGTACGGTAATTATACCAGCTCTATATTGTATCCTACTGAATAGTTTTGTTACTTTAACATCGGAAGTGCGCGATTCCTTTTTCGTACAAATAGAATTACGTTTCATGTCGACTCCATGCCAACAACAATAGACAAGGATCATAGACTCTAATTAGTTTTTCTTCCTAGTCAAGCTTAAATTCCTGGTTGATAGCAACAATAAAACAAAAGCAGTATTCTCTGTAGATACACTCCTAGATATTTCGATAAAGCGGTGCATTCTCTAGCAACTGTCGCATCGGTTTCTTACTCCGCGTGGACATCAAATATTTAAATAATAATGATCATTTAATTATGGCGTAAGTGTTCAGCTCTATTCGGAAACTGCTTAATATTTTTGATTTTCCTCTCCATTGCCCCTTATAACCGTAGCATCACTGACAAATCCTTGACTGCCGAAACAGCTGAACAAAGTAGTTTGAATCAGTGTATGTTGATGTGATATTTCTGAACTTGTATTTTAAGTTGCTATTCATTTACATGCTTTCGAACGATATTTTGAGAATGAATATATTTGATTTTTCCTTTATTTTTCACTATCCAGAACATATCTATATACTTGACGTGATGTTAAAATCATCTAGTACTGCAATGGGTAAAACTTAATTGTAAGCTTAAACATCTCTTGGTCTATAAGTTGACATTTATTTGAACACATTTTGATTCCTCCTATCGAGGTTTGATAATTTAGATTTTAGGTTCCAGAAGAGCAAGATATCTAAATCTTTATGTTGTATCTTATTCTAAATTTAAATTGAATTTGTCGTTCCTTTATACGGCTTATATACTATTCTTCGTCTTGTCTTCTTCCTGAGATTTGGTGGTAATCGTTTAACCTGATGTCACAAGTTGATATCCCTGTTCCGCTTTACTTTATGACAGTTTTAAAGCCATTCTTACTCGCACAAATACACAACTTAATATGATTTATACACAGATAGATTGTAGTTAACTTAAGGCTGTAATTATCAACATACTGCAAACAAAAAGAATTAACTGTTATTTATTTAAATAATAACGAAGGTAACTGATTTTATGTACTTTTTAACAACACTGGTTAGAAATACCAAAGACTTACCCAAATCCATAAACTACAATCACAAGTATTATAGTTTCAAAAAAATAAATATTCACTTTTCCTATCGAAATTGTTCTGTCTAATTACTATGTTTGTCTGTAACTATTGCAAGGCATGGATTTTTAAATCAAAAGGTAAAATGAATGTTGAATATACCCATTTTAGTAAATTGTGTGTACATGATGACATATTTTTTTATATTTGATTTTTTGCTATTGATCCTGTGTTTAGTGTGATTGGATTTAACAATTCAATAAAGTTGATTGTTATAAAGGATAAACATGTGTGTCGTTTATAAGATAAATGTACATGTTATGAAATTGTTCTTGATGTTCCTTACAACTGAATAGATATAATATGAATACAATTTAGCATTGAAAAACATCACTGTCTTCATTATCAACACGGGAACTTGTATATATAGACTAGGATATCCGAGATAATGAAATACAGTAATCAATACTATAGGTAAGTGTATACCGACTGTGGAAATAAACAGACAGAACGACGGCACTGTTATGTGTTGCGTGATAATGACATATTGGCTGAGTAGGAGCTCCGAAACACATATCGTCACTTATCAACATACTCTGAGACATGCCGTCTATCACTGACATAATCTGAGACACAAATCGACCATTATTCCATATACTCTAAGACACATATCTTTAGCTGTTTTCATACTCTGAGACACATATCGTCAGCTGTTTTCATACTCTGAGACACATACCGTCACCTATTTACACACTCTGAGACACATATCTTCTCTTATTTACATACTCTGGAGAAACATACCGCCAATTATTAACAATTTCTGAGAGACTTAACGTCCATTGTTAACATATTCTGAGACACACCATGTCTAGCAGTTAACCATTATCAATATAATCCGAGACACATATTGTTCAATATACTCAAAGACTCTTCAATAACAAACGTCGCGACACACCGTCTGTTATCATTATACTCTGAGACACAAAATGACCTTTGTTAACATACTCTGAGACACATATCATCCTTTATTAGGATAAGCTGAGACACACACAGTCTCTGAAACACTTACGTCAATTATTAACATACTTTGAGACACTCTCATTATTAACATAAAGAGTAAAATGTTAAAGCAATACTCTATCAGCTGAATTTACTGTATTTTATTTAGATTGTTAGTATTCTGTGTGTGTTATGAAATTATAATATAACTGAAAGTATGTGTGCAGTCCCAGGACAAATTAACGTGATGAATACATATAAAAAGCAATTAAGTATGAGGCTAATTTCCGTCGCAATAGCACTGTCGCTGTTAGCCTGTTACCGATGCAGGACGTAGATGACTTCCCCAGATTGAGAAGATATCATTGTGATCGAGCTGGCAATTGAGGTAAGAGAACAATGAAAAGTATTGTTTGATAAGTACGTTGTCCAGACTAACAGGAAAATTGGACGGAAGCTAGGCAGATATTATGTGTGTTTACATAAACCACAACACAGCTACCGTGCTGACACTTCACATAATAGTTTGCCTCTCAGCATATGCGACATTCGAACAGATTTCTCTTCTGCATCACTTCATTTTCAATGCTATCCAGATTCCAGTTTCAAACATTTCTTATTTTGGAAGATCATTTTAATCCACTTGTGATATCGTTATATATGTAAAAATTAATGTCGTCCTGTGCTACAATGCTTCTCTGTAATATCTTCTATCCAAAGATCTAAGGGAAGAGATTAAGATTATTATGTTTATGATGAAATGTAATCCAATTTTCAAATACTAATAAAACAAATATACATGTGATGTATATGTGAATTTAAATAATAGACACTATTCATGTCTATCTATTCCTAATACGCTGAGATAGATAACGATAGACAAAGGTTGTTACCAATAAATTGCTTCAACTACCGAAATGACCTTAACTACGTAACTACCTATACTATTAATACGATCAATCAATAGTTTGCTGGGTAATCGCAGCTATTGCCTTCCATTGCCCATACCTAAGAATCAGACTAGTTTTGGGAAAGCACATGCACTGACAGAGAATGCTTTTGTTACAAAACTGTTATTGCCATTTGTTTAGATAACCTCTCCAATGTGAATTTATTGTGATTGTGTCAACACACCAACATGTCATAATAACAACAATTTTAACTCAAATTCCTTTTCTTAAATGAGAACATAGTATACAACTACGGAACCAATAAGCAAACTAACGAGCATCAAACTCTAGCTTCATATCACACAAAGCAACTGAATGTTTCTCAATGAGATCACTATAGCAACCATAACATTTCCCCATAATTTTCATCAACCTGCTAGAAAGAAGATTAACGAATAATGCAACTAATTGTGCAATATTGAAATGAGAGAAATTTAAAATATCTTCATCTTCTGAACCATGCAAGTCACAAATGTCAATCTTGGAAGCCTGAGACCATTAGCGGTATCTACCATCGTTCAAACCGTGTCATTTTCCTCATCTGTTTGACCACATCATTTTATTACACCTACGATTCAGTATTCTAAGCTTCAGTCCTGTTTTGAAAAACTACATTTGTAACTATAATAATTAACATTAATTAAAAATGAACACGAACAATGATATTGGTTTATTGCT